GGGGCGCGGCCGCCCGGCAGATGGCGACATTTACATACAGCTGGGAGACCCCTCGGAGGCCAGGCTCCTGGCCTGGCGTCTGGTGAGTCTGGTGACGCTGGATTTGGGGAAGAGAGGCTTTGTTTGAGGAGGTGAAAGACGCATGTATGCATACATGGGGCCTTCCACAAAGAATCCAGGATCTTCATTGTGTTTACTCACAGCTACATCCAAAACACACACTTAGAGCCAGCTGGAGACACAGCACTCACAGGTTCATGAGGTCCGCCACTCACAGGACATAGGGTCCGGACAGGACCTCACATCATAATTACTTACACGGTAGAGAGGAATGCACACAGCCACATAGTAAAGTCACCTGAACTTCAATTCCCCCACTCGGGGAACACAGAGAATCTTAGAATTCTTTACAAGCTTGTATCCGTGTTAACTGTCCACACCCGTGAGCTGCATAGCCCCCCGCCCCCCCGAAAGTCGTTCATCTTCAGTAGGCCTTTCCTGTAACACTCAGGCACACAGAGGCTCAGCTCCCGTCACTTTCAGATTGGCGCCCTCAGTCACAATCAGGATGAGCCCCATCACGTCGCCCACATAGAGTTACTGTGTCCTTTCCCCTCCGACCCTCTCCCCCTCGATCCCCAGGAGCCAGGAGGCTGGCTGAGGGGGCGGGGCGTCCCCTCAGATATAAGGCTCCAGGATCCGCAGCTGCGACTCCCGAGGCTACCCCCCATTCTGTCCCCAAAAGCAATGGTCTCCCTGCAGGTGTCTTTGCTTCCTCAGACACTGATCCTGGCTCTTCTCCTTCCCCAGGTCAGACTCGGCGGGATACAGAAAGGAAAGGGGTAGATGGGGTCGGGCTGAGACCTAGAGGTCCTAGGGAGGTTTCGTGGGGCAGATAGATGCCTAGGTCCCCGAGATCCCCTAACCCTGTGGCCCTCTCCGTCCCAGGCACTGCCGGCCGGTGTCTTCGAGCTGCAGATTCTTTCTTTCGGGCCAGGACCAAGCCCCGGGGCCCCGCGGTCCCCCTGCAACGCCCGAGGCCCTTGCCGCCTCTTCTTCAGGGTCTGCCTGAAGCCAGGAGTCTCCCAGGAGGCCGCGGAGTCCCTGTGCGCCCTAGGCGCAGCGCTGAGCACGCATGGCCCCGTCTACACGGAGCAGCCCGGGGCGCCTGCTGCTGCCCTGCCGCTGCCCGACGGCCTCGTACGTGTGCCCTTCCGAGATGCCTGGCCGGTGAGCCCAACCCCGACACCCAGATCTCCAACCTCCTTCTGTCCCCCAGCTCCTGACACCCTCCCGTGCCCCACACCTTAACTACCCCGGGACCCACATTCCCAGATCCCTCAGCACCCCTCTCTGAGGATGTCTAAAAGTTCTCATCGTTTTGTGGTTGTTTGGTTGGTTATGTATGTATGTTTTTAGTTGGGGGAGGGGAGACACGCCTGTGCTACAGTGACATGTGGATGTCAGAGGACACTTTGTGCGAGTCGTGTCAGTTCTGTGGGACCCAGGGATTGAACTCAGGTTTTCAGGCTTTCTGACAAATGCTTTCACCCAGTGAATTATCTCCCCCACCCTGTGTTTTGTTTTTAGAGATGGGCCTGGCTGTCCTTAAGTTCACTCACTGGGTTTCTGAATCTGATCTTGAATTCCTGCACCTCCTGTCTCCACCCCCACACCCCACCTCCTAAATTCTGGATTATAGGCATGCAATCAACAAGCTGGGCTTTGGGGGGGGGTGTCTTTGTCTTTATTCTAGTTCTCCTTGAACCCAGGGATTCTCCCAAGTGCTTTCTTGGGGTCCCCCAATCTCACTGGTTGGTACCCGCCTCTTCAGATCACCCTTAGAATCCTAGTGCCCATCCCTGAAGCCTGCAGAGCTCAGAAAGGAGCAGGTCCATATTTGGAATTTAGATAAGTTTGGAGACTTTACTTTTTCCATATTTAATTTCCTCACCTGTGAGGTGGGAACATCTGCTACTTTCTTTTTGGATAGGGTCTTGCTAGGTACCCCAAATTGACCTCAAAATTGAAATCCTCCTACCTCGGCCTTCTGGGTGCTGGGACACAGGCTTGGGCAAACATATCTGGCACACTGATTTCTTTTGAGGGACTCAATAGGTATCTGGAATGAGGCCAGAATGTTGCTGGTCCCCTGGCCTGCTCCTTCTGGGAATGTTCCCTCGATCAGGCCCAGAACTGGCTTCCAGACTCCATGCTGCTGTCTGGCTTTCACTGAGAGGTGTCTCTGACCACTCTCCTTCTCCATCCAACCAGGGCACCTTCTCCCTCATCATTGAAACTTGGAGAGAGCAGCTGGGGGAGCGGGCTGGAGGTGAGTGTCTTCAGTCTCGGAACTTTGGTAGGCAAGGGCAATGTGGGGTTCAGGACAGACATGGGGCCTGTCTCTAAGGTGGAGCATTCATGGGAGGGGGGGCTATGATGTCATCATAGCTCCTGTGATGTGGTGCTGGGTTAGCAGTTTGGATATAGAAGAGTCAACTGTGGGAGCGCTTGTTGCTCTTGTGGAGGACGGGTTCAGTTCCCTGCACCCCTGTGGTGGCTCACGTCCATGACCCTAGTCCTGGAGGATCCTATGCTCACTACCTGTGCTTTTCAGTCCTGTGCCACCTACGTGCATCCAGGTAAAACACTCCTAAACACAAAAAAAGGAAAAAGAAATGTATTTTAAAAGTCCCAATGGTAGCAATGGAGAGGCCTTGTTCTGGTACAGGTTGAGCATCTCTGATCCAAAAATGAGACACCCCAAGTGCTCAAAAATCCATTTATTTTATCTTTTGTAACGGAGCAGAACTCCCCATATGCTAGGCATAGACTCTACCCTTGATCCTTGCCCCCAGCCCCTCACTGGTAAATTCTAGGCCCACTACCTACCTCCTGGGCCCTGGTTTTGTATTTGAAACAATGTTTCCTGTAGCCCAGGCTGCCCTGGAAATGGCCATTTAACTGAAGTGGTCTTGAGTTTCTGGCCCTCCCCATCTGCCTCCCAAGCACTAAGATTACAGGGATTGCCCCCATTGTGCTGGGCTTAGATTTTAAGTCTTTTTTCTTGAAACAGGGTCTGGAATAATGTAGACAGGCTTTTAACTTGCGGTGTAGCCCAGGCTGTCCTGGAATTCACAATTCTCCTGCCTCAGCCCCCAGAGTGCTGATGTTATGAACATGAGCCGACACTTTGGGCCTCTCCTCCTCAGATTTCTAGATAAGGTTCCTCTATTGATAAGAGGCGTTGGAACATCCATCTGCCCGACCTTTTGCTCTTTTTGAGGCTTCTGCTGGGACTACAGGCGTGAGAGGGGCCGCTACTACAGGAAGACCTTGCGGGGGCGCTACGACCTCACTACCTTGACCATAGATACTGATGTTACAAGATGTTACAACGTTTCCTATTTTAATATTAAAGCATTCTGGGGCAAATACGGCATTGTTTGGCTTCTAAGAAACCTGTCATCGTGACATTAGATGAAGTGTGACATGCAGGTCCCTGGGTGCACTAGGAGAAGGAGCAGGCAGGCTTACTAACGAGGGCTTTTATCCTTCTCTCGATGACAAGGAGCTCCCAGGGCTGGGTAAGGAGGGGTGGGATGCCTTGGATCCCAGCGCCCTCCTTTCTCTCCGCAGGGCCCGCCTGGAACCTGCTAGCACGCGTGGCCGGCCGCAGACGCCTGGCGGCCGGGGGCCCGTGGGCCCGCGATGTGCAGCGCGCAGGCGCATGGGAGCTACACTTCTCCTACCGCGCGCGCTGCCAGCCGCCCGCCGTAGGGGCCGCCTGCGCGCGCCTGTGCCGCCCGCGCAGCGCCCCCTCGCGGTGCGGCCCGGGACTGCGCCCCTGTGCACCGTTCCCCCAGGAGTGCGAAGCCCCGCGTGAGTCCCTCTGTGTGGCCCGCTCTCCCCCGCTCTTCTTGCTTAAGCGCGGATCCCAGTTCCCTCCCACACCCCATCGATCTCCGGGGAACTGAGGGTCCTGGATCTCAGCCTGCTCTAGCATTCACATCATGTTCTCTCTGCCTTTCCTCTGCCTCCTGCAGCCATATGTCGAGAGGGCTGCAGCCCTGAGCACGGCTACTGTGAAGACCCCGATGAATGCCATTGCCTGGAGGGCTGGACTGGACCCCTCTGCACTGTCCCTGTCTCCGCCAGCAGCTGCCCGAACTCCAGGGTCCCAGGTCCTGGCAACACTGGATGCCTTTTACCTGGGCCTGGGCCCTGTGATGGGAACCCGTGTGCCAACGGGGGCAGTTGTAGTGTCAGTATTGCTTTCCACCACATCTTGATTACAACTGTGCGTGTGTGTGTGTGTGTGTGTGTGTGTGTGTGTGTGTGTGTGTGTGCGCGCGCGCGTGCGTGTGTGTGTGCGTGCGCGTACGTGTGTGTGCGTATGTGTGCGTGCGTGTGTGAGTGTGTGCGTGCGCGTACGTGTGTGTGTGTGTGTGTGTAGACCAGACAGTGTCTTTATCACAGGGACTCCCACTCGGCATAGAGCGGCCCGGCGGGCTGGACTGTGGGGCCAGTCTGTCTCTCTCTACTCCTTCACCACTACTGGGATCACAGATGTGCACCTCCAAGCCCGCGTTTTATGTGGGTGCTGGGGATCTGACCTCAAGTCCTCATTTTTTCACAGAAATTATTTACCTCCTAATCATCTCCGCAGGTCCCTCTCCCAAGACAGGGTCTCACTGTGTAGCGTGGCTGGCCTGGAGCTTACTTGGTAGACCTGGCTGGTCTTGAACTCACAGAGATCTATTTAGGCCTCATGAGCACTGGGATTAAAGGAGTGTGCTACCGCATCTGGCAAACCCACCCCACACAGATTTCTTTGAGATAGGTTCTAGCTATGTAACTCAGGCTGGCTCAGAACTCCTAATTCTCCTGCCTCAGCCACCTTGAGTGCTAGGATTACAGGTGCGTGTCATCATGGCTTACTTGATTAGGAGTTTTTATAGAGCTCGCCCTCTCTGGGCTCTGTGACATTGCAACCTAGGAGGCTGCAATCCCAGACAGGTAGCAGCTACCTGGGAAGCCTTCCTGGAGGTGTCCACCTGCATCTAAAGTAGGGATTAGGACATGGGAATGGTATTGAAGAGCAAAAAGTAAGTGGGCAGGGTCATAAGGCGTGTGGGTGGCAGTTACAGAGTCCTGTTGAAGGTTTGGGATCAGGGCACGCGCCAAGGGTGGAGACACCGGACAAAGCTTCCTGAGGACTGGTCCATGAGGCAAGGAGAGGGCAGTGGAGGAGCAGGGCTGGGAAGAGGGATGCCCGGAGAGTAGACTCCGGCGGGATTTCTGATGCTGACAGCGTGGGTGGGACACCGAGACTCAAAGTACAGCGCGAGAGAGGAGAAGGGAGCTCAGTGAGCCTTCATGGCTGGAGACGGCATGGCTGAGGAGCAAGAGACCTTGCCTCGAGTTTACCAATGAGGGCCTGGGGCGAGCATCAGCAGAGGAGGCCTGTCCAGAATCCTCCAATAAGGAGTTGGGGGTGTGGCTCAGAGATAGCGCTTGCCCCGAGTCCACCAGTGAAGATTTGGGGTCTTGGCTCAGGAGTCAAGCACTTTCTTAACCTGTAAGAGGCCCGGGGTTTCATTCCCTAACACATAAGGGAACTTTGTGGGGCAGCTGGGACTGTAGCTCGTGGCTGATCACTTGCCTTGCACATGAAAGGTGCTGAGTTTGGTCTTCAAGTGAGGGGCAGGAAAGAAGCCTTCCTGGAGGTAGTGTGGTAGCTCACTCTTGGAATCCCAGCACTCGGGACACTGAGGATCCTGAGCTCCAGGCCGTCCTGGGCTCCAAGGGGAGACCCTGTCTTTTAAAATTGTTTTCATGAGAGAAGTGGGCATAGAGTTGATGTGTGTGTGTGTGTGTGTGTGTGTGTGTGTGTGTGTGTGTGTGTGTGTAGGCAGGCCAGGTAGGCACAGTGGGGTAGGAACAGCTTTCTGGGCTTCAGAGCCTCACCCAGTCTGGGATTCTGTGTGCAGAAAAATCAGCATGGAGTGGATTGAAGGTCACGTGGGCGGCACTCCCGGGGAAGCCCTGTACCCTGGGACTTGGGGCTGGACAAAGAGCCATAATGGTAAAGGAGAAGGAAGGGATTTGGCTCCGAGGAGCCTCCTGCCCAAAGCCAGCTTGTCTCTGTTCAGGAAACCTCCGGCTCCTTTGAATGTACCTGTCCCCGGGGATTCTATGGGCTTCGATGTGAGGTGAGCGGGGTGACATGCGCAGATGGACCCTGCTTCAACGGCGGCCTGTGTGTTGGTGGCGAAGAACCTGACTCTGCCTATGTCTGTCATTGCCCACCTGGTTTCCAAGGCTCCAACTGTGAGAAGAGGGTGGACCGGTGTAGCCCGCAGCCATGTCAGAATGGTGAGGAGGGGAAGCCAGAGTGGCCAGGGGTAGGGATGTAAAGTTGGGGGGGTGGGTGGGAGTAGGGTCTCTGCGTGGCTCAGATGGCCCTGGGTGGGAATCCTGCCTCTATGTCCTGTGTGGCCTAAGTCCTAGGGACATGACCCTCCTCCCTCTGCCTCCTCCATTCTTTGAAACAGGCAGAGGAGTCATCTCATAGGTATTTGTTGAGAATGTACTGCCCATCAGGCCTTGATTTAAGCATTGAGGATACATCGGAGAGGGAAACCCAAGTCCCTGCCGATTTGGAGCTGATGTGATAGAGGGATGTGCTCAGCGCATTGTGGATCAGGAGGGGTGCCAGTGTGTCAGAGCAGACTGAGCCAGGGTGGAGAGAGATGAGGTCAGGCCTCGGACAGGAGCAGACCCTGGGGACCTGCTGGGAAGATGTTCTTTTGCTTTTTCCCTTGAGTGAGATGGAGCCACAGAAAGTTCTAAGAGGGAGAACCCTGATTTGACATATGTACTAAATGATTAGATGAGGTCACGCTGGGCAGAGTGGCCCATGCCTAGAAATCCAGCACTCTAGAAGGCAAAAGCATCAGGAGTCCAAGGTCACCCTGGGCTATATAATGAGTTCCAGGCCAGCCTGGGCTGCATGGTCATCTCACAAAACCCAAAACCAAACGAAAGGTTAAATAAGACCATGGATGTAAAGAGTCTGGTAGATACAGTGATGCCTATATATTGTTACAGTTGAGTATGGTTGCATAGTTAATTCTAGCACTCTGGAGGCTGAGGCCAGACGATTATAGGCTAGCCCGAGCTAATACTGAGCGCCTGCCTCAAACCTGAAACCAAACCAGACCATTGTTTCCTGTGGAATGAGTGACAGGGGGGACAGCACTAGACCCTGATCTTTTGCAAGTACCAGCAGTTGTCTCTCTCAGGGGTTCCTCTTTCGCCCACTCAGAACTCACAGGGCATCGGGGCTGTGGTGTGGGCCCAGGGCATCGGGGCTGTGGTGTGGGCCCAGGGCATCGGGGCTGTGGTGTGGGCCCAGGGCATCGGGGCTGTGGTGTGGGCCCAGGGCATCGGGGCTGTGGTGTGGGCACAGGGCATCGGGGCTGGCTCTGGGCTGAACCAGAAAGGTGAGAAAGCTTCCCGGAGGAAAGGGCGTATGAACAGAGAGGGGTCTGGAGAAAAGGAAGGAGAAAGAGAGGCCTCGGTAGGAGTAGTCCTGGGCAACCTTGCTCGATGGCCTGCACCCGTAGCCCCAGCATCTGGGAGGAGAACGCAGGAGGACTCTCTGTTTGAGGCTAGCTGCGTGCCACTTCAAAATGTTTTTACAGCATGGGCGAGGGCCAGCTCACTCAACGACGTGGCTCTTGAGACAGGGAACTTTGAAAGTCTGGTCAAAGAGAGGCGGAGGGGCCGCAGGGGGCGGAGGGGCCGCGGGGGGCGGGCCGGGCCGCTGGAAGCTGACTCGGTTTCCCCGCAGGCGGCCTCTGCCTGGACCTGGGCCACGCCCTGCGCTGCCGCTGCCGCGCGGGCTTCGCGGGGCCGCGCTGCGAGCATCACCTGGACGACTGCGCAGGTCGCGCCTGTGCCAACGGCGGCACGTGCGTGGAGGGCGGCGGCGCGCGGCGCTGCTCGTGCGCGCTGGGTTTCGGCGGGCGCGACTGTCGGGAGCGCGCCGACCCCTGCGCCTCTCGCCCCTGCGCGCACGGAGGCCGTTGCTACGCCCACTTCTCCGGCCTTGTCTGCGCCTGCGCGCCCGGCTACATGGGCGTGAGATGCGAGTTCGCGGTGCGCCCCGAGGGCGCGGACGCGGTGCCCGCGGCCCCCCGGGGCCTGAGGCAGGCAGACCCACAGCGCTTCCTTCTGCCTCCCGCCTTGGGGCTGCTGGTGGCCGCGGGCTTGGCGGGCGCCGCGCTCTTGCTCATCCACGTGCGCCGCCGCGGCCCTGGCCGGGATACTGGGACTCGTTTGCTGTCTGGGACCCGGGAGCCTTCGGTCCACACGCTGCCGGATGCACTCAACAATCTGAGGATACAAGACGGTGCTGGGGATGGCCCCAGGTGAGGGGGGACACCTTGTCACCATGGCTAATTTGATTGGCCTGATTCCTTGATGCATGTTCCCGATTGGACCCTCTTACCCCGGTGTTGGAGCCTTCGGATGGGGTCATTGCAGAATTCCTCCTGGCCAACCTGGGGTTCCCCTCTTTGATGGGTGCGGGAAAACAACTCATGGGGTCTGAATTGTCCCCGTTTTCTCTCCTCCCACAGTTCGGCTGACTGGAATCACCCTGAAGACGGAGACTCTCGGTCCATTTATGTCATACCGGCCCCTTCCATTTATGCTCGAGAGGTACTTGAGTCCCAGGTTCTCATGCTCCAGGCCTTGGGCACTTGGCTCCGAGGCAGCCCCCGGCCCCATGCCTTTTCTAATGCTTCTTTCTCATTTCTTCTTTTTTTTCCAGGCATAATCCTGCCCCTTCTCTATCATCGCCTGGAGATGGAGTCCGAATGTTTTTGTTTGCTTTGTGGTGCCCAATCTCTGCCACCCCATCCCCCACCACACTGACTGGAGGCTGGGAAGTGTGTTTGGGAGGATTTTGATGTTGGAAGTTGTACATAATGCTTATTTATAACCTAACTTTTCTCATCTCCTGAGACATCTATCTATAAAGGCTTTTATTTTGATCTACTACATCAGGCTGAGAACTTTGTTTTTGATGTTGGAACTAAGGAAGAGAGATGTCCTGTAAGGAGAATAATAGAATTTGTTTGTTTTTGTTTCTTGTTTTGGTTATCTGCAGACAGAGTTTCTCTGTGTAGCCCTGGCTGTTCTGGAACTCACTCTGTAGACCAGACTGGCCTCGAACTCAGAGATCCATCTGCCTCTGCCTCCCAGGTGCTGGGATTAAAGGTGTGTGACACCATGTTGGGCGATTTTTTGTTTTGTTTTGTTTTTAAATTGAGGCAAGATGCTATGGCTTGGAACTCATTATGTAAACCAGTAGTTCTCAACATATGGGTTGAGACCCCCCTCTTTAGGGGTCAAACTGCCCTTTCAGGGTCACACATCAGATATCCTGCATATCAGATATTTACATTACCATTCATAACAGTAGCAAAATTACAATTACAAATTAGCAACCAAGTAATTTTATGGTCAGGGTCACCACAACGTGAGGAACTGTACCTAAGGGTCGCAGCATTAGGGAGGTTAAGAACCACTGAATTGTAAACCAAGCTAGCATCAAATTTTCAGCACCTTCCTGGCTTCTGCTTCTAGCATACTGGGAATCACAGACACGCACCACCACTCTGGGCTAGGATTGATCCTTTGATAGAAAGGTTCATCGAAAGTGAGGGCTCATGGTTATGCTGTGGCACAGGGGAAGGATATGGATTAAAATCAGCCAAGGAAGTCTGGTGTGGTGTCATAGGCTCTAATCCCAACACTTGGAAAGCAGAGGCAAGTAGATCTCGGTGTTTTCAAGGCCTCGCTGGTCATAGCAATTTCCAGGCCAACCAGAGGTATATAGTGAGACCCTGTTTTAGGAAAAAGAAAAAAAAAAGTGGATAGGAGGATTGTAAGCCCAGCCTAGCCTATATAGCAAGACTATTTCCCAAAGACAACAGAAAGCAAACCAAAACAAGAAATAAATTTAAAACTCAGCCAATTAGAAGACAGGTGTGGGCCAGGGTCCAGCTAAGTTCCTAGCACAAACATCTGGGTGTCCTTGCTGGTGGAGCCATGGACTGCAGTGACTTCTGGAAGCATGGTATGATAATGGACATGGAATACTGCGGACCAGGAAGCATGCCTGCATCCCAGAGCCCAGTTTCCATGGGATCTTGGTCAGGCAGACAGAGTTAATCGCCCTTCCAAGGCTGAGCTACGAGTGTGGTCCAAGCTCTCATCATCATTCAGATTATTATCATAGACTATCTGGTACATGCCCCCCAACCCCCACTTACCAGGAACTATGTTCCCTGGCTTAGAAATACTCCCCAAAAGGGGCTGGAGAGATGGCTCAGTGGTTAAGAGCACCAACTGCTCTCCCAGAGGTCCTGAGTTCAATTCCCAGCAACCACAAGGTGGCTCACAACCACCTGTAATGAGATCTGGTGCCGTCTTCTGACCTGTAGGGACACATGCAGGCAGAATACTGTATACATAATAAATAAATAATAAATCGAAAAAAAAAAAAAAGAAGAAAGAAATACTCCCCAAAAGCCAAGGATGAAGACTGACATCTCTTAGGGTATCAACAGGGTCATATGTATCCTGAGATTTTTTTATGTGTACCTGAAAGTGACCTTGAACTTTTGATCCATCTCCTGAGGGCTGAGACTACAGTCCAGTGTCGCCATACACAGCACTAGAGCTTGAACCCCAGGGCATTGTGAATGCTATGAAAACTCTCTACCAACTGGCCACATCCCCTATTAAAACGTCCTGGATTCCCATGGCTTCAGAGTGAAGTCTGTCTGTCTTGCATGGTCACTGTCCCTGGCTCCAATCCTTGTCGGCTTTTGTTTTTGCCTACACTCCAGCTCCCAAACCTGTCCCATTTCCTGGTGTAAGCTGCTGTGGAATATTTATTAGAAGATGTGTTACATTCCTTTATGCTGTGGAATATTTGTTTAACATGCAAAGATGTGTTGCATTCTTTTTTCTTTCCCCCAAGACAGGGTTTCTCTGTGCAGTTTTGGTGCCTGTCCTGGATCTCGCTCTGTAGCTCAGGCTGGCCTCGAACTCACAGAGATCCGCCTGCCTGTGCTTCCCCAGTGCTGGGATTAAAGGCGTGGGCCACCACGGCCTGGCAGTGTTGCATTCTTTTATGTTGCATTTGTTTAACTCTGGAAACCGTGTTACTATGTCTGTCTAAAACACCTGATTCGTCTAATAAAGAGGTGAACGGCCCATAGCAGGAGCGGGATAGACAGGGCTTCCAGGCACAGAGAATAAATAGGAGGAAAACTCTAGATGGAGAGTGCGAAAAGGGGCGAGGAGGACACCAGGGGCCAGCCACCCAGTCACACAGCCGGCCAAGGAGTAAGAAGGAAAAAAAGATACATAAACAGGTAAAAGGCCCAGAGGCAAAATGTAGTTAAAGAGAAACGGAATAATTTAAGTTAGAAAAGCTGGCTAGAAACAAGCCAAGCTAAGGCTGGGCCTTCATAGGTAAGAATAAGTCTCTGTGTATTTATCTGGGAGCTCGGGGCAGGCCCCCAAAGAGTACAAAAAGCTTTCCCTTTTTATCTCACCAACTCAGGTTCCACAAGCATTTATTGATCCAGGTCTTGTTCTAGGAGCTGGGGATACAGCATGAGACAGCTTTCAGGGGCCCTTTTCAGAGTGGTGAAACCACAGGACCCGGGCACCCACGGTTTGGTCTGGTGTGAGAACCGTGGCAGCTCCGGGTTCTGTGTAAATTACACTGTTTGTGTGGGTTATCGCTATTTTTCTCCGGATCTGGTAGCTGTACCTTATTCTCAGAGGTCCTCTCTTATCCTGCAGACCCGTGCCTTCTCTCTGGGATCATAAGGGTCCTGGTGTTCTTGCCTGCTCTGGCGGCTTTAGGCTGTCACTCTCTGATCCCGGGTGTGGCCTCCTCCCAATGGCAGGAAGCAGGGCAGGCAGAGATGCTGCGTGCCGGGAATCCCCAGCGCAAAGGGAACACTACATTATCGCAGCCCGCTAAGCGCGGGGGTGTCAGCGGTGAGGTGGGAAGCTCCCAGCAGGGTCTGCTTCCTGTGTTGGGGATGGGGAGGGGGCAGGGCCGGGGTCTATCGGACAGATCTGGGGCAGCACCGCCTCCTAGGCCTGGAGCCGCGGTGTAATCTGAGTGGAACCCCGTGTGTAACAGTGCCTGTTTGTGGTTGCTTCCGTTTTAGAACCCTGGGGAGCGAATTCTATCCCTGCCCAAGGAGCAGGGCAAGACAGGACGCTCAGTCTGGGGTACCCGGGTCTCACTTGGTCACCATGAGTAACCAGGCGCGGACCCCCGCTCCCTCCCCGGCCCAGCCAAACACTCCATCCCCGACACCAGCTCCCATCCGAACCACGACCCCCGTCAGAACAGTCCCGGCTCACAACCCGACTCCGGTCCGAACTTCCACCCGGGGCCCGGTCTCGACCCCGGCCCACAACCAGACTCCGGCCCAAACCTCCACCCCGGTCCGGGCTCCTGCCCAGGTCCCGACCTCTCCTCCAGTCCGGTCCCCAACCCCAGCCCCAGCCCCAGCCCCAGCCCCACCCCCAACCCCAACCCCAGCACCGGTGCGGACTCCAGCACCGGTGCGGACTCCAGCACCTGTCCGGGCCCCAGCACCAGTGCGGACCCCAGCACCAGTCCGGGCCCCAGCACCAGTGCGGACCCCAGCACCAGTCCGGGCCCCAGCACCAGTCCGGCCCCCGAAACTAGCCCGAGTCTTGCCCGCGATCCCTCCGGCGGAGTCCTTGCCGAGCTCGGCCTTACCCGGGGCTCAGCCCTCTTCTTCCAGGCGTGCTAGCTCTGTCTCAAAGGATCCCATGCTCGCTCAAAAGCAGGACCCTTCGACCCACAGACTAGCGGAGGCCATCCAGGGTCCCCTTCCGGTGCTCACTGCCGCGGCCTCAAAGACACTGGCCTCCGTCCGGGACTCCACCACTCAGTTAGACTCCTTGGCCTCCAATGCCGTGGCCTCCAGTACACTGCGCCCCCCTCCGGACGCCATCCCTGTACTGGAGTTCTTCGCCACCCAGCTAAGGGAGGCCCCTGCTCTGGGTCGGCTCCCCCCACTTTCCCCATCACCCAGCTTCGTCTGCACCAAGGAGGTCGCCTCGACCAGCGAGAACGTCCCACCGGCCAACAGAACTTTGATTCGTGTGATATACTGGTGAGGGGCTCCCCCTACCCGTGAAAGCTGAACCTGGCAGGTGCTGGGGCTCCGGGCATGTGTCAGCAGGCCCAGGTGCGCCCTGGGCAGGGAGGCAGATCCATTTGTCTGTCCCTTTGAGGTTAGAAAGCTTTGTTGAGTTCCCCACCCTGGCTCTCAGCTTCTTCCAATCACTCCCACATAACTCCCGTGATTTCTGACTTTGATCTTAACTCACTCATTCATTCACTCTCTTTTGCATGTTTACTGGCTTTGTGCTTCATCCATTCACTCCTATTCCTTCAAACATTTGTATGAGTGACTCTGAGCTGCGTTCACTCTCTTCATTGATGGACATTTCCCACCTGGCAGTCAGAATAATTCATTGATCTGCATGAGTCCTGCCTCTCGACTTCATGCATGCATTTACGCTTACTCGTTCATTCATTCATTCCTATGATTGGTAGTAGCGGTGAGCTTCATTCATCCCCTTCATTCGTTCAACATTTGCATGATTGCTGGCTCTAAACCGCATTCTCATTGATCCATTCATCCATCCATTTTCATTCATTGATCCATCCATTCATTCTCATTCATACGATTCATCTGTTGATTCCTAGGACTGGGAATCCACTCCCCTTCCTCCCTGCGCTCCACTCCAGGGTCTTGACTGGTCCACTGGTGCTGGAGATGGTCTGCTGAGCTGGCCAGGCAATAGTGGGGCAGCTGGGAAACAGCTGGGGGCTGGATGCAGCTCTCAGGTACTGCCTCTGGCTTAAGCAGTGACCTGGAACTGGGCTGAACAGGACCGGGGCAGGGCTGTCTTCCCCATGCCTGCTCTGGAGGACTCTGTGTCCATGTCTCAGGCTGCCTCTTCCTTCTCTGGCTATCCCAGGCCACTCTTCCCACCCCATGGTGTCTCTTTCTCCTCTTTCCAAGCGTAGCTCCCTCCTGCTCTCTCCCTTCTCTTCCCATTTCTTCTTTCTCCTTCCTCCACCTCCTCTTCTCAGACAAGGTTTCTATGTAGCCCAGGCTGGCTTTGAATCCAGAGATCCTTCCACCTCCGCCTCCCAAGTGCTCGGATTAAAGTATGCACTACCACACCTGACTCAACAGCTATTTAAAAAAAACAAACAAACAAAACCTCATCAGGTGACACCAGGCACAGAGCAGTGAGGAGGACGGAGACCCCTGCCCTCGTGACTCTGACATGCTAGTGTGGAGGGCAGGCAATAAGCCACCGCTAGGATGCACAGGGAGGCGCCTGGGAGGGTCATGGTTTCCACCGGGAGGGTCAAGAAGGCCTCAGTGAGAAAGTGACCTGAAGGAAGGGAGGGGAGCCATCCACATCCTGGGGAAGAGCATTCTCAGCTTCCTACTAGTACAAAGGCCTGAGGAACTGCCCGCCTTAGCGTGTGTGCCACTGGGAGACCAATGAGAAGGGTTCTGTGGCTGGACGAGGTGGGGATAAGGGATGAAGGATGGGGACAGTTTTGTAGCCACTCAGGGACCGTGAGGAGGATGGTGGTTTTTTCCCCTGAGGTGGTACCATGGGTGAGGGGTTCTCCAAGCAGGACAGGGATGGCGTCTGACTCAGGCTCACTGCCTCTGTGATGTCTCTCTTATCTCTCTCCACCTCCCCCTCCTTCCCTCTGCTTCCAGTGGCCTCTGAAGCTATGGCCTTCGGGTGAGTCGTTTCTTCTTCAGAATATAAGGGAGCCTATGATGTGAAGACTGGAAGGGGGTCCCTGTTTCCTCTCCTGTGACCCCATGACTCCATCTCTTCCCTCTCAGTACATCCTTCTGAGAAAGACCCTGGAGCATCAATTTCCAAACCTTCTGGAGTTTGTAAGTGTGCTGGTACCCTGGGGAAGCGTGGTCAGGGTTCCCAGACCCCTGAGGGTTTGGAGGAGTGCTCTCAGCCTCCTCCACCACACCATTGCCTTGCCAGGAGGAGGAAAAGGCTTCCCAGGCATCAGGAGAGTTTGAAGTGTTTGTGAACGGGAAGCTGGTTCATTCCAAGAAGGTGATTCTGGGCAAGAGGGCTGAACAGGATGAGAGGGAAGGGCCGGGGTACCGGGAGGTTGGAATCATGTCTGTACTCTTTCTTCTCCGTACCTAGAAAGGTGATGGGTTTGTGGATGAGTCCAGTCTGAAGAAACTTATGGGTGTTATCGATGAGGAGACCAAGAAAAGGTAGCAGCAGTAGCGGATCTGGAGATGAGTGAGGAGAGGAGCACAAGCAAGGCCAGGAGCCGGTGTGAACGTAAGTGAGGGCGGCCGTGATGGCGGCGGGGGCGGGGCGGGGCAGCCTTCACCCGCTCAGCCGACCCTCAGCCTTAAACCACGGCAAATCACAGCTTTCATTTTCATTTTACATTGGGGGGCACAGTGCACATGAATGTCAAGGCATGTATGTGGGAGTCAGTTCTCTTCATCCACAGTGTGGCTTCTGGGGATTGAACTCAGGTCACCAGACTTGGCAACAAGCACCTTTCTCACTGAGCATTATTGCCCCCCCCCCCACTCCCTTTTTGAGACAGTCTTACTGTATAGCCCAGGCTGGCCCAGAAGCCATCGTGTAGTTCAGGCTGCCTTCGAACCCCCAGCCATCCTCTGCCTCAGCCTCTTAAGTGTTGGGGTTACAGGTCTGAGCTCCCCCTTCCGGCCCTTCAACTCTTCACACATACTTTTTTTTTTTTATTTTGAGACAGGGTATCACCTAGCTCAGGATGGCCTCAAATGTTATGAAGCTACTGATTCACATGCCTCCACCTCCCGGTTGCTGGGGATTACAGGTGTGCCCACCATTCCCAGTTTATTAGGTTGGGGAGTGAAGTCAGAGTCTGTGCGTGCTAGGCAAGCATTCTGCCATCTGAAGCACACACACACACACACACACACACACACACCGGCCTCATCCCTGCAGTCTCCCTGCAGTGCTGAGGTCAGACCTGGGCCTCACCCCTGTGAGGTGAGGACTGCGCCACGGAGCTGCGGCCATAGCCTTTCTTCCTTTCTTATTTTGAGATAGGTTCCTCCTAAAATGACCCAGGCTAACCTTGGGTTTCCATTAGTTTGGATGACAGGTCAGCAACACTAAGCCTGGCTTGTCAATGGGATCATTGAGATAGTTCCAGGAGAGGACTCCCAGAGTGATGGGTAAGACAGGGCTGTCACTAGGGCCCTGTGGTTATCAGAAGAGCATAAGATGTTGTCTTATCTTCTGGTTGTAGAGCGGTGCACTCGCTTTTAAAATTCATGATGGGTGTGATAGCCACAGCACTCAGGAGGCTGAGGCAGGAGGATTGAGGCCGCTGTGGACTGCACAGACAGAGAGGCCCTGTCTCAAACAACAAGATGTAACCAAAGTTAAAGCATTAGAAATCCAGTTTTTAGTTACCCAGCCACATGTCAACTGCTCAACAGCAGCCTGGGGCTAGAGTATTGGGTTAGGGCTAGGTTAATCTGTGTTGAATTGTAGATACAGAGCACAAAATCAATCCAGAGCTTCTAATTCTATTAGTAGCATTATTCTAAGATATTAAAAGATGTCTGCAATAATTTACATACCCTTTATGCTTGGCTTTTCTTCTTGGATTTGCAAGGGATGGACTCCAGGAATTTGGCTTCATAAGCAGTTGCTCTGCCACTGAGCCACACCCCCAGCCCCTCACTAGGGGATTCTAGGCAGGGGCTCTACCACTGAGCCACACCCCCAGCCCCTCACTAGGGGATTCTAGGCAGGGGCTCTACCACTGAGCCACACCCCAGCCCCTCACTGGGGGATTCCAGGCAGGGGCTCTACCACTGAGCCACACCCCCAGCCCCTCACTGGGGGATTCTAGGCAGGGGCTC